CCAAACTGGCAACCTGCAGGTCTTTTGTCAATTAAGAGATGAATCACAACAGCACCGCCCTGGTAGTGTATCACTTTGGTAACTGTTTCCACTTTCCAGAAACAGGAAGCTCTTACCACAGAGGGAACGTTCTCTTCTTATCCCTGCCCATGCGATTCCTGTTAATGGTTGTTGAGCATGGCACTGCATCCAGGTGGTGAGAGCTGTTGGGCAGGGTCGGCACCCACTGGTTGTTCCTCTTTGCCTTCTGTTCTCTGAGGAAGGAGAGTGGATGTTAAACTGCAGACCTGGAGCACCACTGTTACTATGTCAGGAATGGCATAACTTTAAACTCAAAAGTCCTATCATGAGCTCCTGCTCTTTTATTCTGGAATCATCCACATTACTATTCCAAGAACTCATGTTCCCCACCAGCTTCTGGGAAGCCCATTCTCCAGCTCACAATTATGCTTCAGATATGGATCCAGATGCAGCATTATAAATACTAGGTTCATATTTGGACTTTCTATCTACACTTTATAAAAAGACTACCGAGAAATGCAAGGTCTCCAGAAGGCAGTATGTGCAGGGAGTGTGTTCTGCAAAACATCTGTTACAGATGGAATGCAGTAATTGCAAAAAAAGTTGTATCATCAAACACTTACGTTTTATTTCCTGTTGTATGTGGGCAGTAACCCAATCCTCAGGCTCTGGAGATCTCCATTTGCCCAACACTGCAAACTGTTTAATCACACTGGCAAACAAGCCCTGCACAATGGCCTGTGCTTCCTGCCCAAGCTGACATCTTCCAAGCAGCTCCATTCTGAGCTTGGCCCCCACCAACCCTGGTTACCTGAGGTAGGTGGGAGGTTCTGTGCTGATGGACACTGCTTTATACTTCTCATCGTTTCCATCCAAGATCTCTTCCACTTCAGAGGCCTTTAACAGAGTCACACTCGTGGCTAATGTTGTATAGCCGTGATCTATTACCAGGAAAGAGGCCAGTAATTAACACGAAAAAGGGCTACATAGCACTGTAACATTAACAGGCTACATAGTGACAAGCCCTCTCTGACACTGCAGGAGGAACTAAAATAGGCTACCAAATGCTACAAGCGTCCTTTGGGCTTCATCTATCTTCTCTTAGACATTTACAAAGCCCAGAAAACAATAAATCCTGAGTGGACTTAAAGGTTGGAAATAGAGAGGCAATGATCAATAGAAAAGCTGTTAAGACTCGGAAAAGGGGGAGAAACCTCAGGACAGCTGAGGTTGCTGAATGACAGAGACCATCTGCACCAGACAGTCCTGCTAAGGCTCTGAGAAAGAGGAGTTAGGCATGGGATCAGGATGCACAGTTAGGGCGACCACAGGGAGAGATCAGAGGAAGAGGACTAGACATTAATATTATTGTAATAGCACCAAAGGTCACTGTGGACATTCTTCCTCTAGCACAGCTAAGAATAACACACAGATAAGACTTACATCTTCGGGGACTGTGAGACCGCTGATTTTCTGTTGGGGGGAAAAAAGAGAAAGCAAGAGATCAGCAGGATACTTGGGGGAAGGAGACGTAAATCCAGAGTAAACCATGACTTTTTTTATGCTTTAGTCTACAGAGCATACAGCAAGTCATATTGCTGAGAAATTTAACTGCTTGCTATTAGTGCCTTAACAAAAACAATACCAATATTCTCCCTGTAGTACTCACATCAGTAGCAATGCACCACAAATTCTGGCAGCCATAAACTTTGCCAGGAGCAAAGTTAAGCAAAGATGCACATTTTCAACGGGGCATCCTTGCAACACTCCTGCCTATTTGACAAAAGAGGCAATGATGCCCCTCTTCTGTCTATAAAACTATTCTGAAACACAGTATCATTATACTATTATTATTATATAGCATCACTGGAGACGTGGCTTTTGCTTTGTGACAAATGCAGCCAAGCCCAGGAATGCCACGATGACTGTTTCCATTTCAGAATGCTTTTGATCAGGTGATATTTGTTGCCAGGCTGAACCAGGAGCCACCCAGTGCCACCACCGCAGGGGGTTCCATCACCGGGGCGGCCTGAGCGATTCACACAGCCCTTGAGGTGCACAAGCCTCTCAATCGCCAGGGACAGTTTTTCAAGGCCAAATTTTGGATAAACACTGCTGGGAATGTTTACTCATCTTCTCACCATGTGAAGAGGCCACTATCTTCTTCCTTTCTTCCACGGTAGCCAGTCGCCTCCAGAGCGAGGGGTACCTCTTGTACAGGGAACCGCGAAACATGCGCAGGTAGTTTCCCACCTACAAGAAGAGAAGTGGAAATGTGGCCTTGTATTCCATTTAGGAGATTTTCAGCAGAGGCTGAAACAAATTCATCTCTTTGTAACAACAGGAGGGACCTCCTAAGAGGGTTCTTTGTTTTTTTGGGGGATTTTTTGTGATAGACTGACTGTGCTGGGTTTGGCATCAAACAGCATCACAATTTTTCTGGCAACACAGAAAACAAAATTTTTATCATCACTTATTTCACCAGTCTTATACAAAAAGCCCGTCATCCATTAGCAATAATCAATTTAATAGGAAAACACTCCATTCATTTTCATGTATTTTTGAAAAACCTACCCTTTCTTTGCTTCAGTTTCCACATCAATGCAGTGTTCAGTCAGAATTAAACCAAACCAGATACCCAGCTCTCTGACACGTTATAATTTTTACTTTGAACCTCTGAGCCATTTTGACATTGTTTGAATACAGCAAATACTCAGAGAATTGTATTTTGTTTTAAACCCTCTGAACATGCCAAATGTGATTGCTGCCAATAGTCCTTTTTCAAATTTACTTACCATCTGTAAAGCAGTTTGGTTCTTCCTGGCATAAGATCCTCACCTATGCTGAAGGCTACAGCAGGCCTTGCTGAACAACAGAACTATTTCTAGACTCTGAAATCAAATTTTTAGACTGGTAGTACTGGCAGATTCCCACACAATGAGGTTTCTATTCCTTGTTTGACAAGACTCTTTTGATCCTAATTTTTAATTGTATCTTTCACTCTACAGTGCTCATCAACAGACAGAAATCAACAGTAGGTAAAAAAGGCAACCCTTTTCCCCCTCGATGTGCCTGATGCAACAATCTCACAGCCCAGCTGACTGCAGTTACAGTTCTTCTTTCAAACTTTACATTTCACATGAGACAGCAAGGGGTCTTCAGTCCCCGCTCACGCTATACAGACGGCAATTTAATTTATCCAGTATTTCCTCTTTTGCATCAAGGCGGGAGCTATAACATTTTTTTCTTGTTTCCAATCGTGACCATTTCTATGGTGCTGAAGGACCAGTATTTCGTGCCTTAGAAAAGCCTATCTTCAGGGAGGCTGAACATCCTCTCCTCCCGGGAGAACAGTCTCAGCACAGGCACTGGGGGGCTAAAGCGCTGCACGCCGGCGATTGTTGGCCAGACCCGTCTGCACAAGCAGAAGGAGCCGCGCTCCAGAATCAGAGGCTGATTCTGGTGCTGTTTCTGAAGGCCCATGTGTGGGATCCATTACCTCGGAGAACGTGAAATAACCCAAGCCCTGAACAAGAAATCTGAGCGGGGTCTCAGGCGGGGACCCGCTGCCCGCGTACTCGCGCGTGTCCCGGGGGCGCCCTTACTGGGAGCACTGGTGCCCCCAGACCCGCATCACGGCGGAGGGGACCCGTGGGGGCCGCAGACCCGTCCCCCACACCCCTGGGCTCCCCCTCGCCCCTTCCCCACCCCGCGCATCCCCCCCAGCCCGGCCCGGGCCCGGCTCCCGCCCGGGCCGCACCTCGGAGCCGATCATGTAGAACTCGCCGTCCTCCTCCAGCTGGAACTTGACGGGCTTCTGCCCGAAGGTTTTGCTCAGCGCCATCATCATCATCGCGGCGGCGGCGGGCGGGGGGAGCGCCCGGGGTGTGGAGCGGGGCCCGGCAGCGGCGGCGGCGGCGGCAGCGACAACGGGCGGCTCCGCGGCCTAGTGCGGCCCCGCTCGGCGCATGCGGAGGGAGGGGCGGCGCGGTGAGGGAGGGACGGAGGCAGACACGGCAGGAGCGGGGGGTGTAGAAAAGAGGCGGCTTTTATTGTCGCGGGGCGGCACATAAATACAGACAGACCCCCCGCACAGGTGCGCGCTGCACCCACAGCTGCGGCTCCGCTCGGGGCCGGCGGCACCGCGACCCCCGCGCTGCGGCACCGGCGGACGGAGCGTCCTGGCTGCCAGCCGGGCACCCGGGCTGCGCCGGATTGGGAAATGAAAGGGAAGAGTGGCCGCAGCCCGGTGGGGTTCGGCTGGGCAGGCCCGGGGCGGGTGTGTGCGGTGCCAGCCCGGGGACAGCGGTACGGGAGCGGTCAGTGCATCCTGAGCGACCCGGGGTGGGAACCTCGCCCGGGTGAGCGCGGGGCAGTGTCCAGCACTGGCACCCGGCACCGTGGAGGGGAGGGAAGGAGGGAAGGGGCCCCTTGTCTGTATACAAATCGGTACAAAATCCTAACGCGTACGAGTGATACAACGTCAAACCGGGAGTAGGGCTGCGGCAGGGCCCTGGCAGTCCCCGCGGCTGCCCCAGCCAAGGGACCCTGGCAGCAGCCGCACGTCGCACCCTCCGCAGGTACAGTCAGTGTCCTTCAGACCCCCTGGCTGGGGCTGGGGCAGCCTTCCTCCCTGGCCAGCGTCTGGAGCACCAAAGGGCTGCTGTAGTGAGCTGTGTAAACATAGGAAATACCATCGGGTCAGTTCTACGGAACGGGGGTCCAGGTTAATTATGAGAGCACAATCCCACTCCAGGCTGGCCTGATGGCTTTTGGGATGCTATTGCTAGAAGAGTGTGGCCACTCTTTCACCTGCAAAGAACATGGCAGCTGCTTTTACATTGATAGCAACTGAAGCTGGGGCTGCTGGAACTGGAGAGGAGCAAACTTTGTCACTTGTGACAGGCACATGTTGTGTCAGATGCTGAGCCTGGAAGGAAGCCAGGAATGGCAGAGAGAACCTTCTGTGTGGCTGCTGGAGGTAAGGGTGATAAAAGGGCAGCGTGGAGGACACAGGCATCCCCCTCATCTGAAGGAGTTGGAGGAAGGTGTACAGCTGAAGAAGTCCTGGCTGATTTGGCGTGGGTAGCCCTCCAGCACTTTCACCTGGACTGGATCAAACTTCCAGTAATCTTGGCCTCTCAGGAAATAGGCAAAACCTGTGGATGAGAGAGGAAGAGTTAGAAGAGACAAGGTACCCAAGGCTCAGAGCTCTTTCTCAGTTTCATCCAGGTGTCACTCTGCAGCATGTGCAGTACTGAAAAGAGAGCTGGAAGAGGCAGGAGATGCTGCTGTCGAGATTTCACTTGAAACCAGGCTTGTGTATTTCAATTTTCTTTCACACTGTGTTAGTTTTGATGGAACAGTAAACAGAATGGATTTTTTTGTTTGTTTTATTTTATTTTCCTGGTGTGTTTAAATGTGCTGTACCCATGTAGTGACCCAGCCCTGAGAGGGCAGAGGATGTCCAGGACCTGAACGGGGACAGGGAGCTTGTGAAGACGTGTTGCAGGGCATTTGTTACTGTGGGGAAGCTATCCTGGAATTTGGGTTCTGGAAGCAGTGGGGAGTTGTTTCACTGCATCCTTTGGGAGGAAAGAGGCACTCACCACACCTTCATCCCAAGCAGCCTGGCTGTCCCCAGTATTACCGTGGCACTGCCATACTGTCTTCATCATGGGGCACCTCGGGGAGGTTTGGGTAATACTAAAAGCAGCCTGTTTGTTGTTCAGCTGCCCAGGCTGAAGTGTGGGCAGAGCTTCTGCTGTCCTCTCATCACTTCCTTTGGCAGGAGCGGTAGCAGGTGGGTAGGACTCTGTGACCATTTCTTGGTCAGATGCTTGACTTCTATCAGACAGTTATATGTTGATTGTTGTAATTAATGATGAAACTTGTCACTTTCGTGAGAGAAGCCTCAGTTCCCTACCCACTGGAAGAAGGAGCTGCCCCTCTCTACACTATATGACGTGCTATGGTGCTATGGCTGGGAAGTGTCCACTGCTACCACATGTCCAAATCTGCCCAGTTCTACCAGCTGGGCAGTGGTGTCAGCCAGAGTGCCCACCCCAGAGCGGGCCATGTCCCTGCTGCACTGACCAAGCTCATCCTGAAAAGCCGCGTCGATCTCCTGCGGGACACCGCGCCAGTCGGCCATGGCCCGGGGGTAGATGTTGTCCACCTGGCGTGTGTGAGGGTTGAAGCGCCAGTAGTTGCCTCCACTGAAGATGTAGATCTTGTTCTTCTCAGCCCCCCACACCAGAGCTGCCTGCACAGGGGATGCAGGGAGGCCCAGCTCCACAACTGGGGCGGGACCAGATACCCTTCTCTCGCCATCATAAATCCAGTATTGAGAATCTGGCAAGGAGACAGAAAAGGGAGGCAAAGTGTCAGAAACTCTGGTGTCTGATAATTTGGCAGTGAACTGTGCAACTGGAGCTGGTGCCTTGGCAGAGCTCCCAGGGGAAGCTGTGCCTGAGGCAAACACCCTACCAGTGTCATGGACACTTTCACTGTCGTGTGCCCAAAATGCTGTCAGTGCAAGGAGTTGACTTCCTGCCTCAGTCCAGCCTGGAGGGTGTCAGTGGAGGACAAGGAGGTCCATTTTAGCAGCTGTATTTTCTCTATTTGTGGGAGTTATAAAAGACTTGGCTGGAAGGACCAGTGTCTACACTGCAACCTCAGCGCTTGGAAAACATGGGGGCATGCACAGGCACAAAGGGGGCATGTGGCTGGAAAGGAGTGAGCTGCAGAAACTAGGACGAAGTTGCCAAGCTGAAATAGAGACTGGGAGCACAGTTCCAGATTAGATTAAAATGGGAATCTCTGTAATTAGCCTGTGGCATGTAATACTTTCCCCTTATCTCATTTTAACTCACGGTAGGAGCCTGCCAATTTCAGCACTGTAAATCCTTGTGTGCAGGTCAGGTGCTAAGTAATGTGTTTATGCAGGAGCTCTGCCTGCAGAGCTCTGTGGTGTGATTCTGGTACTTGGTCTCATGGAGTGTAGACAGGGTGTGCACACCCAGGGCAGCTGAGTTCCCATGTCATTCTACATCCCTGCTATTAAAGAGCATTAAAGAAAACAGTGGAGCTGAAATAGAGTTTGTTGCTGGCCTTGAACTCCAGAGGTGGCCAGGAGGAGGTTTCATTTTTAATCCCTGTGGTGGCTGGAGGTTGCCTGGTCCTGCACATGATCTCCCTGTAGGTTCATTTAGTCATGGGGTACTAGAGAAGCTCCACATCCAGGTCTCTGAGGAGCAGAGAAGATGCTGTCTGTCCCCTGAGCAGGGCCCTGGGGACACAAGCACAGGAGTTTCACAACCAAGAAAGCTGCTGGGGCTCTTTTCTGGCACAGTGCTTCCCACGACAGCTGGGGAGATGGAGCAAGTGTTTCCTTCTTTCTCCTCTGCCAGCAGCATTGCCAGGTCAGAGGCTCGTAACAAATGTTTGTGTTCCAGGGAAGAAGAATGGGGGATTGTGGCTCTGTCTAAAATAAAAGTGACCCCTTGTTCTCTCTTCCCTCCTCAATATCTGCTAAAAATTTAAACAGAGAAGGAAACAAATAACAAGGATCACTGGATTGCTGGGGATGTCCAGAAGATTTATTCTCCCAGGAACTTGCTGGGTCCTGACTACCCCTAAGTAATTGGGGTGCATTTCTGAGCCATCTGATCCCAGTCCAGCTCTTACCTTGGAAAAACCAGATATTGCCCAGAGGGTCCTCGAAGGTGGCATCAACAGAGCTGGGGATCCCCTGCCAGTGCCGGGAGGCCAGAGCTGGGTAACCGTCCTGCAGCTTTCCAGCTCGGAGCCGCCACACGTAGCGGGACTTGAAGAAGAACAGCTCCCCTCGGATGGTGGACGCGGCGTCGAAAGCCGTGTCACAGGCGTTGGGCTGCACGTCCTGCCAAAGCACGGCTTGTTAGGGGCTGGGACTCCTGGGACTCCCCTCACCCAGCCTGGGTTCAGCAGAGGGGAGGTCCCTGTGTCCATGCCTAACCCTGCTTTCGGTCAGTTTTGGTTGGGCATGTGCTGCCCAGAGATCCCCTCCCTGCATATCCCAGGCCAGCTGTGGGGTCTGAGCCTGGGCTCAGACAGACACCAAACAGGCCTCCTGGTGAGGGCAGTCCCAGCTGTGCTGCCAAGGGAGAATGCAGACAAACTGTTCGCTCACCTCCACGTTGGTGATCTCATTTGTTTCGAGGTCTGGCTGGGGCAGCTCTGCTGGCTGAGTTGGGGTTGGGTCAGGATCCAGTGAGGGTTTCCCATAGAGGTACTGGATACCTTGCTTGTCATCCTCACTCAGGCTTAGGGGGTAGCGGAAGATGTAGAAAGGAGACATCAGGGACTTGGAGACAGCCGTGTGCTGCAGGCCCAGGACGTGGCCAAACTCATGAGCAGCCACTTGCAGGAGGTCTGTGCCTGCAAAGGGAGAAGATGGGAAATGCTTTTATCTGTTCGTGTGCTTTTGACTCCTGGGCCTGCTCCTACCAGTTACCAGCCACTGACAGTGCACTGAGGTGTGTTGTAGGAGTCCAACAAGAGGAAGGAGAAATCTGTCTCTACTACCATTCTCACAGGCTGTCTTTCCCAGATTTTTCCTGTGTGTAGGTTTTCTAAGGAGTCAAAGGGCATAATTAAGGGATTCACTGGTTCAGGAGCACCCTGAGTAAATTCATACACTCAGGTATCAGCCTGGGCATGTTGGTAATTTGTAATTTTGTTGTCAGAGGCTCCTGACACCTTATGGGCTATCAGGAAGAAGTGGGTTTTCCATGCACTTTTGCAAAGGAGAATTTGCACAGGGAAGGAAGTCTGGCCCATAGATGTGGGTGGTGGGGTGGTAAGTTTGGTGTTTGTCCACCCAGCCTTGCAGCAGTTGCTGGCCACAGCTGCAGTTTATCCTGTCCCATTGAGATCACATCCACTGTGGAAGATACCAGTGTCAGTGAGGGAACTCTCTAGGATTAACACTCGCTAATGGCTGTTGTCACACAGACAGCAGAGGGAGCTCATTAATTGCTTGTGTGGGGACTATGTCAAGAAGGTGACATTTAGAAATAAATCCATAAAAAATGATCCAATGTCAAGACCTGAGACTTCCTCGCCAGACTCAAGTAGATTTATGGGAGATCATGTTTTAGGAATACATGACCTTGAAGCATTTAGAAAAGGAGAGGGGGGAAAGTGGATTTCATATGCAAAGATATATCACTTGGCATGTTTTGCTTAGTTTTCAGTGGATCATTTTTGAAGCTGATAAATTTCCCTGAGTGGAGGCTGTTTGTTGACAAGTCCCAGCATATTCACTCGCCTTCAGCCAGAAATCCTCCAAGCTGCAGCCCAAGTGATGAGAACAGCAGGGATGTGAGTCAGCCAGCCTCACTGTTCCAAGCAGGATTTCCCTGCTGGCTCCAGGGGAGCAGGTCACTTCTCAGCACCAGGACCGGATGGGACAGGGGGATACAGCTGGGAGGAACGCCTGGGAAGGGCGGAGGGGAAGGTGAGCTCCTCTCTTCCTCTGCTGGTCAGTGTTACCTGTAAGCAATGAATTTGCACAGCACTGACCTGATTAAATCAACACATCTAGATCAGCTGAGAAAGTGGGATCTCTGTGTCAGTGACTTATTACAAACTTTCAGACACTTCTGTTTAGCTTGGCAGGCTCCTCACTTGATGCTTTCCAGTGCTGGCAGATCAGCTGTGCTGTCAGATTCTCCGGGGGAGGTGCACAGCAGCACAGCTGAAGGAGCTGTGCTGGGGACCATGTGTCTCTCATGGATGGTCTCCATGTGGGGTCCCGCTTCCTGCACAGTTCTAGGGTGACCCCAGAGCACACCTTAGCCCTCCTCACGTTTCTGCTCTCCTGTCTGTAAAATGAAGCTGAGGATTTCCCTGTCTCACTGAAAGCTGAGTAAAGGATTTATCCATGGTTATATCATAAAGCTCTTTTCAGCATATTAAATGGCAATTAGCTCCAAAGAGCTTTTACAACATCTATTTATGGATGATGGGGGGGGGAGGGGGAATGCCATGGAATAGGACTGGATTCTGTTGGGAACTGGTGTCCATTTGCAGTTCCTGTTTTGCCTCCAACACTGTTTTATGGGAGAATGTAGGAAATTCTTCAACAACACAGACAACCCCAACAGAGGGTGAAAAGCGACACAACCCAGCCCTCCCCAGGAGCAGAATTGCTTCTGTAAAGAATTCCAGTGCTCTGTGGTTCTTATTTTGGGTTGGCATGAGCAGAGTGAGAAACACAACAGTCCTGTGCCCCACGCAGTCCAGCTGGCACAGAGCTGACAATGACGTGGGCTTTGGGGGAGCCCACTAGCATGAGTAAAATATTTGGGAAACCCTGGAGAGGCAGGAGGTTAACTTGGGCTTTGTAATTGTCTCTTTGTCCCTGTAGATAAACTGGGAAGGAGGAGGAGGAGCTGACCTGGGTTAATTTTGGTGGGTCTTCCAGAAACTGATGCTTTGGGCACCGATCCAGATGGTCCCAGGCGGTACTGCAGTATCTCATGAGATACTGTGACACCAGACCCTGAGTGCCCGAGCAAAGAGCTACCAGCTTAGATCTATTATTAGCAAAAATTAAAAAAAGAGTCTTGACTGGATGTGGTGTTGTTTATGGTCAGAGCATTCCCAGGCCATGGGGACAGAGCTGGAGCCCGGGTGGTTTCCCTTTATGGATTTGTTTGAGAGCAGATGGTGAACAATGCATGCAGGGACCAGGGCTGAAGCTGTCCCTTGGATGACAACTGTCACCAAGTGCTTGAGCCTCAGTTTTCCTTCATCCTTTCCCTGTTTTATTTCTAATGACTCCTGCCAATGCTGAGTGTGATTCCCAAGTGGCAGGGTACATGACTGGGCAGAAGAGCCATCTCTCTTGCTCCCCCAAGACAGGAGGAGTCCATTGGAAAGCCAGGGTCCTGGTGCTGGACACAGACTCTGCTGTGGCTGAAAGATGAAAAGACCTGAATAGTAACAGGAGGTTTGTAAGTCGTGGGAGATGACAGTGCACACCACAAAAATAGTTGTTGCCTCTCAGTTTTACAGGGTCCCTGTTCACATCAGAAGGGAATAATTTCCAAGTGTATTGATAAGCATCCTGGAGCATCCACAGCTCCCCTTGAAACAGAGCCGTACCCAGGTTGTTCCCAATCGTCCAGGTCTCGTCATAGTCAAAATGGACATCTCCCTCCCGGTGTGTCTTGGGGAAGAACGCGTGCGCCAGGATCCCTCCGGGCCCATCAAAAGGCAAGTTGTCTCCATGCCAGTACCTGGAGGGAAGACACATTGCACCTCAGACAAAGGGCCATGTACCTCCAGTAACAGCGTCGTAAGGCCAAAGGGGGGACCCGCTGTGAGGGGACAGCAGCTCTCACTCCCATCCTAAGTTCATCCTACCAGGCCAGATCAACTGCTCGGAGTCCTTCTGATTGCCACAACTGCAGTTCTGCATCAGGGCACTGAGGAAGCAGAGCTCGGTCACACCAAGCCCTGGGGAGTTTGTATGTTTTCTCAGGAATGTTTCTCCCCTCCCCCTGTTCAGATTTCAGCCCAAAGCTGACCATAGAGGCTAAAGAATTAAGGAGCTGACTGCTCAAGCCAAGATTAAGTCAGCATTGCTGAGTGGTGGAGGGATGTGGAGGGGCAGCTGGCAGCAAACTCAGCCAAACTCTCAGGTCTTCACTCAAGCCGAGCCGCAGACGATTAGCGAAGGAAACCCATGAGAGATGCGGCCACTTGAGAGAGCTGAGGGAGGCACAGGCAAATACACAGCATGCAAATCTCATCACTGCTTGGACAGTCTCCACTGCCTGCATTTGTTCTGTGCAAACATGCAGCACGGGGAAGTCTTTGCCCCAGTGCGTATTTTGCCAAAAGGGAATTTCAGGCCAGGAGCCAAGATTCACTAACCAAGAAACTATATTTGTCTTTGTGCAGACTGTTATGTTGTTCAGTCAAGGGACAGGATGGAGGACCTGAAGATGGAAAGTCAAAACAAACACTTAAGAAAACAGCCTGTGGGCAGAGAAATGTAAATGTACCAGGAAAATTAATGAATGATCAGTAACAGTGCTGTGCACAGCCAGTGTGGAGCAACTGCACATACACCAAGCAGCCCACAACTGATAAAAAAACCAAAACAACAAACCCCAAAAGATTGCAGTGTCTGAAAGCAGAAATATGAGTAGTCATTTAAATTCCTAAGTTGTGTGCTGGCAGCTCTCTGCTCTGGTTAGGGCATTGCTCCTCTGTCTGGGAGGAGGGTGCTGCTGCCCACCGTGCTCACCTCGTGAAATCGATGACGATGTCAGCCCGTCCCTCCTGCACCTCAGTGAAGGTCAGCGGGGTCACATCGCTCCAGACTTTCAAAGCTTCTTCTATGGTCCTTCTCACTTTAGCTTTTACAAGTTGCCACGGGAACCTGACAATTCTGGAGGGCAACAGACACTGGATGAGCAGCTGCTGTCCTGTGGACACTGCTGTCATGAAGACACCAGCTCTAGGATCCACATTATTAGGGCTGCCACTCTTAGCACCAGAACATCTCCAATCCATACAAGCACTGCTCCAGCACCCTCTACCATGCAACATGTGCAGCAGATAAATCCCATCAGTGTTGAAACCCTCTGGCTGCTGGGCCAGAGGTGAGTTCCCTGGAGAGCTTTGTTTTCTCTGTTGTTCTGGAGTAAAGCACCACAGCATTCCCCAGGTCTGTCTCCTATGAGGCCACTGCCACAGAGATTCCAGGGAGTGGTGTGTTGTGATTCCTTCTTCTCAACCTCTGCATGTTTTGCCCCTGGAAACCTGAGCTCAATCAGAGCATTTGTCACCTCTTCTGCCCTCCTAAAACATGAGCAGACTGAAAGGGAGGTTTCTTTCCCTTCCGTTAACAGTGTTGTTCTACGTTAGCCTCTCCTCTGCTTCCTTCTTTAACACAGTTGACCAAAAAGAAAAGGAAAGGGAAAAGTCTTTCTCTTATCTACAGCCTCTTAACGCTGTGAGGAACTGTCTCCTGCATTGAATTAAACAAAAGATGATTTACATGCTGTCAAGGTCCATACGAGTGTGCTCACTTCTCCACTCATACCCTTGGGGGCAGCTGGGGAGGCAGCACAACCCTCCCGCCAGCCTGTTGAGTAGATTCACAAATGAGAATGTGTGGGGTGATTTGGGCAAAACTTTGCACTGAAGTCGTGTTTATGGGAACATCAATAACAGCTGAATAAAAAGATCTTTTTAAAATAAACTGTGAGGTGAGCCCACCACAGGGTGGCTGGGGGGGAAAAGGCACAGCAGGAGAGGGCTCATGGTGGAGGTTCAGCTCGGCACGTGTCAGGGGTTTGGTGCAGGGAAGTGAATGTATGTGCACGGGGGTGTTGGTGTGGGGCTGACCGAGGGCTGGTGCAGAATGTGCTTGGGCAGGGTGGGTGGGCAGAGGTGTTTATGGAGCATGGGAGGGGATGTGGAGGTGCCGGGGACGGCCCTGCTGGTGGTTCAGCATGTGGCTCCCCACAGCTCACATCCCAGTGTGCAGTGCTCCAGGGAACATCAGACTGAGAGATTTGGGGAGGGAGAAGCAAACCAGCCTGACTCCCATTTCAGGCCTCTCTTACTTGTAGGTGAGATCAGTCTTGTCCCAGCGTCCTCCGGAGAGGACGAACCGCTTCTGCCGGTTGCGCCCGCTCTGTCCGTCCGTCAGCACCGGGAGGTCGGGCACGCCGCACCGGGGGGGGTTCCAGCGTGCCACCTGCTGCTCTGTACCCACAGGGAAGCCCTTGGCAGGCACACCAGTCCCCACAGCGTTCACCAAGGAGGATAGCCAAGGAGCCTGCTCCTTCCAGGTGTGATGCTTTCGAGACATGTCCTAAAAGGCAAAAGCAAAGCCATGACTTCAGTGTCTGGGAAGACACTTCTTGATGCAGTCAGTGGACATCAGCAGTCCTGATGCGGTGAGTTCCACCTCTGCCTGGGGCTGTTCTGCTGCTGCTAGGGCACAAACTGCTCCCCACAAACATCCTCTGTTCCCTGGGCTCTGCTGCTCCCAGGCCAGGTCACACCTGGGAGGCACTGTGTCATGCCATGGCACCCCTAAGCACTGGGCTATTTTTGGTCCACATTTCCTTGGCAGCTGGCCGGCAGGAAATACTTTGCAAGCCGTGGATGAGAACCAGACCCTTCAAGTATAAAACAAACCACTAAAGAATAAATTCTCCCCCTTTGCCCCACATCCTTTATTCCCTCCTGACCCTGGGGAGAGGTGATATTAATGGGAGGAAGCCTTTAGTGCCCAGCACACAGTTGTGCTCCCTGTTGTCACTTCCGTGGTGTCCCCTTGCTGTCCTGGCACTGTGGGCTCAGCATGGCCAGGGGACATGACAAGCTGCAGAGCAGGACACGCGGATTTGGGGGTTGACAGTCCAGCCCATGGGGCAGAGAGCAGAAATGGCTGTCCCTGCAGCCCCTATCACTGCCTGAGGGAGGGACAGGACCATATCCTCTTGCCTCACTGCACCTGTGACTCTGGTGGGGATAAGATCTCCTGGGCTCTCTCACACTTAGTTGGAAAAGCACTTGATAACATTAACTAATGCTAATTATCTGACTTCCATTGGTTTCCCATCTGACAGCAGGACCATGTTGCCCATGAAACACGACCCAGGTGTAATCTCCAACCTGCTGTGAGGCAGGAGGGGTGAGAGGTGTTTGGTCCCTGTCACTGTGCTGCACAGGGCGGGGGGCCAAACACAGATTTTTATTTTTTTGCCTGGTTTTGTACAGACAAATTTAAAGATGTTTGAGCAGCAGGAGGAGCTGAGATGCAGCAGTGGTGCATCTCTACTTGGACAGGCAGGCTCTGTCCCACAGGGCTTCAGAGGGAGGGCCTGGGCTTTAGGGGTGCCCTTCCTTCCCCTGCAAAGAGCTGCCTTCTTCCCAGCCAGCTCTCCTGGCTGCCCTGCCAGGGGCACAAAGGTCAGGATGGCACGATGCCAGAGCTGCCATGATGCCGTGTAATCCGCGTGCTGCCACCACTCTGTTCCCTACAATGAGCCCATTCATGCGGGCTGGAATGAAGTGTGAAGACCTTGGCATTAGTTCCGCTACCGAGCTCCCAATTCTGCAGTGGCCCTGTGCTTCTGAGCAAGGCACAGATGGACAAAGGAGCCAGGGAGGTCACACAAGGTGCAGTTTAGGTGTCCACATGTCAGTTTAGGCTTTTCATGTGTCTGTCACCACTCTAGCCTGCTGACCTGTCCTCCCCAGACAGACACACAGACAACCTTGGAGGTTTGGCACCTACCAGCCTTTGCCTTAGAACAATCCATACAATCCTGGTGTCCCAGTGCACTTTCACACACCACAGGAACTGCACCATCAACCCATGCAAAGAGAGAAAAAGCCATTTTACATCCTGAACAGCAAGGCCCAAGTTCCAGCCATGGCACTGAGTATCCATGCAGTGCTTTAGTGGGAGGAGGGAGTATGGACTTGCCTCTCCCAGGGGAGTCTGCACCGGGCTGCTCCTGCTGAACACTGGAGCCCTGCCAGGTCAGAGGTACCTGTCTCTCTAAGAGGAGCTCTCTAAGAGCTGCCTGGCACCCTGCCTGGGCTGGCAGCTAATGCCTGCAAAGGACAGCTGGCAGGAGGAGTTGATAATGTTCATGTTCTGGCCAACATCTTGCTCCCAGTCCCAATGACACTGAAGCACATAATGGCAGCTGTGTCACCAAAGCCCATCCTGGAGAGCTGCCACCACAGGCAGGTCCTGCCACCCGAGGACATGGGGTGATGAATGCATCCGGTTTCCCAGGGCCAGAATGAACAGGACAGCTGCTCCCAGGCACATGGGGAGAGAGGAGATGGACCCCTGGGAGAGCCCTCACTGTGGAACTGGGAGCACTGGGAAACCCTCAGGAGTTGCCCAGGTAGGTGAGCGAGATGAGGCTGACCCAGATGGGCTTACTCCTGTTTTTTTGTCTGGACGACACTAAGCACATCCCCCTCCTGGGAAGGCCAGTTGCCCTACAGGCTGGGGGTACTGGTACAAACTGGAGATCATCACTCTCCTCTGAGCAAGAGCAGAGAGAGGAGAAACTACCTGTTTCCTTCTTGCCCCAAGAAATCCCATGCTCAGAGGCAGGCCAGAGGTAGTTTTTCTCTCCCCTCTTTGATTAGCTCAAGGCCACTGGCATGAATCCCAGCCTTTCAAACCCCACCTTGCCTTAGCCAGGACCCTTCCTACTCCCTCCTGCCTGCCCTGTGCAGAGCCCCAGCCCTGGGAGGGCTGGTCCTGCGAATGGCTCTGGGTGGAGGCAGGGGGGAAGACCTTCCCTGCTGCCCTGAGCTGTGCCCCTGGACAAACAGTAACTCTGTCCCTGTCGTCACTGCACCGACATTAGGACCATGGCAGGAAAGGGCTGGAAAATGCCACTGCAGGCACAGCCAGCAAGGGGAAATGTGACAGGCAGAAACCACTTGCCAAACAATGCTCAGGAGACACTCAGGTTGGAGATCTTGGTCTCCTTGGCTGGACACACCTTGCTGCAGGCACTTCCTGGGGCTTAGATAACATGTCCGCTCACTTAAGGTTGTATCCTTCCCACCCAGCACTGAGCCCACCCTCTCTTGGGGAGACCTTGCTTAGTTCTCAGAGTTGTGGTATAATGCCCTGGTTGCATCCTTAGGGCTTCACTTAGGGCTGTGCTGCTGCTGAAACCAGTACAGACCTGTAAGGAGAGGGTGAGGAGGGCACTGGCTGCTGGGTACCTGTTGAGGCATCCCCACTCCTCACATCCCACCAGCAGAGGGAAAGGGATTGCTGAACACAAAAGCAAAGGAAAACCCCTGCAGCCCAGGGCAGGGTTCAGCCCAGCTGAGTGCAAAATATATCTGAGCCTCTGGCTGAGTGTGTGCAGCCACTTGCTCTGCCCTTCCCAGTATAAGCAGCAGTTGGGGTGGCCACTGTGCCCGGAACAGCTGGTTTGTAGTCAAGGAAGAGGCCAGGGCTTTGCAATGGAGACTGAGCAGCAAAATGCCAGCACAGCATGAGCACAGAGGGGCTGCTAGGCCTGAGACCAATGGTGGGGACAGTGGAGGAGCAAAGCTATACACAAAGAGTACTGTGGTGTAGACTGGTCACAGCTCCTCACAAAGAACGTGCCTCTTCCTGCAGCCTTGTGACTGAGAGGCTGAGAGGGAATGGGAGGGAATGAACAGATCCCATGGGAGACCAGAAACCACAGCGGAGGTACAGGCTGCCCACTCAGTCCCTTACAGCTTTATCAGTGCTGCGATACAACAGCCATCACTTCTGGGTCTGCCGGGGCCAGATGAACACCAGCCAAGCTTCCCAGGAAGCATCCCAGCCATCCCAAGGAGCCAGGAGCATCTTTAACCTCATTGTGTTGGGCAGCACTCGCCCTCCAGAGCTCCCAGGAGGAGCAGCAGCCAGAGCAGCACAGCTAAAGTCAAGTATCAGCAACACCCCGTTTGAATGAGAGTGAGGCCAGTGCCTGGTACTGATAAACCCACTGCTCTCCTCTGCCTGGGTCCATCCTCCTCTGCCTGCCCTGAACTTAAACTTGTGTCCTCTGTTGTGTACCTAATTACTTGGGCTCCTGTCTGCTTCTGCAGCATGGACACGAAAGGAGACCCCTCTCCCTGTCAGACAGGAGTGATTGGACAAGTTACAACACGAATCCCATCAGTTTTGGATATTTCCCCTGTCATTGGGGCTGTTTCCTTTTCTGTTGGGGAATGAGCTCACAGACTTTCTTCCCACCTCCCTGTCCCTTCTGCTGCTGGTTTTCCATTTCTCCCTGCTTTCTCCTTCCATTACTCAGAGTGTTTGTCAAGGCCTTGGTGTTTGCTGCCTCTCTGGCTAGTAGCATTATCCTCCTTCCACCTACGAGCCTGCACAGTGGAGCACTCCTGCCCTTATTTCAATGCACTGGGAAGGACAGCAGAGATGCTTTTACCTGCAGCTCTCATGTAAAACATTTCTCTCACCCCATTTCTGTCCACTGTGGGGTGTCTGTGCCCCCAAAGGGGCTTGCACCCCCTTAAGAGCAATGTTCCTGCCTGAGATCAGCACTGTTGTCCTGATGCACAGGGTACCATGGCTGGCTTTTTATTGAGCCTGCCTCTCAGCCCAGCATGGATTTGCAGGGGTTGGATTTGAAATGGCTGCTACCACTGATGGTTAGTGGTAAAACTGGAGTCAGGTTGTGTCCCAGAATCAAACTGGCCCAGGAAGGCGCTGCAGCTGAACTTTCACAGCAGAAGCACATTACTATGGTCTGACCCTGAGCTAAGCGTGTTCCTGGTCAAGGCACTGTTGGTGGAAACAATGCCTAGGGAAAGCCACCAGATTTATTGATCCTACCTCCTCCAGAACAAGGCAGAGTCTCCCAACCCCTCTAACTATGAATTCTTTCCTTACACAAAATAATTCTGCTACAGGACTGGCTCCTTTGTGCTGGGCTGCAGCCGGTCCCACTGCAGGCAGAGCCAGGGAGAACACAAAGACTGAGGCCAAATGGGAGCTGCTGCAGTGCCTGGCCATGCACATACAGTTGGATATTCCTCTCCACTCACTTCCCATACTCTGTGGCACCATCCAGCACTACCTCCTGGGGCCTGACAGTTTGTTTCCGGATTACTTGGTGGTAGTTGTTGTTGGCAACAAAAAAAGGAAAATGTTTATTTTTCCTAAGCAACGTTGAACATGAAACATTATGGACTGCAAATGTTTATGCCCACAGACAGAATGAGAAGAACCAGGCCTTCGAGTAACAAGAGAAAGCAAATGAATAAACACTGCACGACTATTTTTATTATCAGACATTTTAATTATGTGACAATTTGTGAGTCTACTCCGTCAACAACACCAAAACCAAACTGCTGGTGTCACCCAAGCAACAGTTTGCCAGAAACAGGAGTACTTACAGAGCAAACAAGCCCCAGGACGCCGGGATAGCAAAAGGTTTCAAGAGCCCTTAATCTGATGACCTAGAAATCCCCTTGAACCAAAGAAACAGCTCTAGGATGCAGCACACTCCTGGCAGGGGAGGAAGGGGGTTGAGGTGTTTTGTTCATTGTGCAGTTACATCCAAGCTAAGGTGAGCCATGAACAACAGCCGGGATATCTCCCACTGGGTTTGACCACCCATCACAGTGCAGCCCTCTCCAGAGCCATGGGGGGATGTTTTAGCCTCAGGGAGTGCAGGATGCTCAGATGTGCAGTCTGGGATCTCCACATCCACCAGACAAGCACTTTTCCCCTGCCCAATCTCCTGGAGATGTCAGGGGGGTTTTCCTCCTCTGGTAGCTTTCAGAGTCACTTTTGTGAGATGTCTCTCTCCTGCCCAAAGACTACTAAGAGGAGATCTGCTCACCTGTCTGTCCTTGTTGGGACTCTTCTGCACCAGGATCTCAGTGAACCTCTAAAAACATGTCTGTGGCCCTCAGTGAACCCCTGAAGTGCTCTGCTTTTCACTTTGCTAGGCAGCTATGTGCAAACTCAGCAATTCTTCCATTTACATTACAGGCTGAGCCATCCCCAGCGTAAGAATATCCAGGAAGCTTTCATTTACCTGTCTGCATATTTGGAATTAGTAGGAAAGAGGATGACCAGCATCTCTGCAGGCCAATTTTCCACAGAAGATTCTTTTCAAACAAGTCCTGTGTGGTGCATCCTTTCTGCAGAGCCCCACAAGGTGTGGTGCCAGGGCAGGACAAGTGTGGGGGAAGCAAGGAAAGTGCAACATAAGCTGGAGAGGGGGATCCTCCCCAGGGTTCTTCTCCCCACCCTTTTCTCCCTCCCGGATCCGCTTTGCCGGCTGCACCCCCCAGGTCTTGCCACACCGCAGGGTGTGCGTGTGTGTTGCATGTGGAAGCACAAACACAACAAACCCGCTGGAGAATAACTGCTTACATGTGTCTTGAGTCTCTCCCAGAGCAGAAGATAAACATGCCTAAAATTACCCCAACACTGACTGTAGCATTCAAATAGCCAAACCAAAGAGTGCAAATACAACCCTTCCTGCGGGAGCTGCCTGAACCCCGAGCAAGGCAAGCAGCCTCCCTGGCTCCTGGGCTGCGGGGAAGGCACCGCTGTGCTTCCAGCAGGGAACCTGCTGCGTTCGGGGTGAGAGCTGCAGGACACGGATTACGGTGGCAGCTGGGAGGGTGCCCACCACTTCTTCACGGAGAGAGAGCTTCTCAGCAAATGGACAGACTTTGATTTCCCAGGGGAGCTGAAAGCAATGCAGGAATTCAGTGTCTGCGCGTGCACAGCCCCGAGGACTGCAGATCTTTTGTTCTCAAGTTTTACAGTGGACACCAGACACAGCCTTTATTCTGCTCTCAGTTTTCTCTTTCTTTCTTTAGGCATTAATATAAAAGTGAAGGAGATCTACAGGGTTTGCCTCGAAGAACACAAGTCCTCCTGCAACTTGCCCTGTAGCCTGGCTTTAAAATGAATCTTGGCCCTTGATTCCCTCCCTTCAGAGTTACTGGTGTTGTGACTTGTTATTGGAGCACAAACAGCCATGGTGCAGCACACTGCTGCACCGAGGGCTGTCCTCACCCACCCCCTCTACCAGCACAACCCGAGGAAGTCACCTTTGTCTTGTTGGAGTGTGAATCTCTTTTACCAGCTCAGCCTCTTGGCTCTTTTCTCATTCATCACCCAACAGCAAAAGGTGGCCAGACAGGAAATTAGCTGCTGTCAGACATCAGGGAAACATCCCTTTGTGCAGAGAGACTCCAAGTAGCCAGAGAAGGGAACATAATGCGAGCTCTCTAGCAAGAGAGGGTACAGAAAAGCTGAGGCCCGATGCACATGCACGGGTCCCTGTCAGCCCAGCAATCCCACATCAGCTATCCTGCACTGACATGTGTTTCCCAGGAGGAGAGGAATGGGGTGCACTGCCAATTTACATCATATGTGAGAGCAACCTCCAGGTAAAAGTGGCTTTACCTCTTAGGCAGTAGAATAACCTTCAGAAGCCTTGACATCAGATAAGGAACCCAAAAGGGCAGCTATTTGGGACGACAGAACTGCTGTTTGAAAGGATGGGAAATCATCTGTCCGTTTCCAATCCCAAACCAATGCAGCCACCATCTCTGCAAAGACTGAAATACATTGATCCGAAACCCTGAGCCCCACATGGCTGGTCAAACACACACACACAAGGTATTCCTGAACAAAACATACCTGTAGGAGCATCACCTGGAGTTACTCCAGCCAACAGGAAAGCATCAGCATTCACAATGCAGAGCATTAGCCTAGGATGAGGAAGAAACCAGATTGCCACCTGGGGGGAACCTTCTTCTGAAGCATGGTGGTGGATTAGGTGGACCAGAAGCCTGAGCAAACCTGGACCTCTGCGCTAACTCTGTGCTCTTCAGCAATTTGGTGTATTCCCCACTTCAAGGGGTACTGGCCAAGGCAGGTGGGCCCCAGCAACCTCTGCAGTCAGTCAGCAGCTGCGAGCACTGGTAAAAGGACAGTGACACCACAGCTGGACCGGGCCCAAAGTCAGATGGTGTGAAACCCAGGCTGGCTCTCCCTTCCCTGGAGAATCCCACACAGGTCTTTGCTGGCAACAAGACCAGGATCAGAGGCTGTGCAGGTCCCCCCAGGAGCAGCAGCTTCACAGCTTGCACACATCAGAGCGTGAGGCACCTGCCAGCCCAGCCCACGTCCCGCAGGAACCAGCGGTCTCCAGCTTAACGCAGGTGGAGCTCTGCCCTCCCTTGCTGCACTCCAATGGGGCTGAAATCCACGGTGGTGTCATTACTGGAGTGCAGAGTGCCACCACCGAGTGCTTGGTCTCACCCTCCTCAGAGGCAGAACGGAGCCAAACACAGTGACATTTCATTTGGAATAACACAAGCACTTTGGGGGCCAAGGCTGCTCTGTGCCAAGTCCCAGCCCACAGCATATTTAGCAGCCAAGTTAGAAAGTACTCAGATGACAGAGCTGATAATAAAACCATCGACAGAACCTGAACTAATCCCCTTGGGCTGCTACCGGGCATTTGCTCTGTTATTATTTCATGGCACACCAGCGAAGCGCATGTCTATAATAACCCAATTACGCACGCACACATTCCCAGCACAAGGAGCTCTCTGTCTTCTCCCGTCCCCTAAATCCCTCGCACACCGCTGCTCTTCTCTGGCAGCCGCAGTCCCTGCTGCTCGCAGCTCCGTCCCAGGTGCTGGGATCGGGCAGGCATGTGCAGGAAGAAAGAGCCCTGCTGCTCCTCTCCTGCCCGCGCCTTTGATTCATCCCTTTAGTCTCCTCTCTCCGTAACACTTCTCAGAACTTCCAGCACAGCTTGCGGGGGGTGTTCGAGCAGCAGCGAGTGCTCTGCTGCCTATAAAGCAGAGGGGATCCTGTGTCCTCTCCTAAACCCTCCTTATCCCGGTCCCTGTTTTTCTCTCGGGAGCACGCCTGTGGAACCTCCCCTAAGATGTCAAGAGGAGCCCGCCGAGCGGAGCCACCGCCGGGGCAGGGGCAGCCGTCCCGCGGCCGGTGCCTCCCGGCAGCGCTGCCCGTGCCGGCAACCCGAGGGCGGCTCCGGGATGGATGGAAACGGGAGGGGGGGGGAGGAAGACGGCTCATCCCGTTCGGCGGAGGGTCTGCCTGGGAGATGCTGCCCTCGGGACCGCAGCGGAGAGCGGCGGGGGGCACGGAGAGAGGCACCGGGTGGTCCCGACTCACCGGCTTGTGTCGGCGGGCGGGCGCGGCGGGGGCGCAGTGCAGCAGAGCGGCGGCCAGCAAGGCAGCGGCGGCGGGCAGCGGGGCACGGGCCATGCCGGGCGGCGGAGAGGGCTCGGACATGGGGCAGAGGAGGAGGAGGGGGGGGTCCTCGCTGAGCCTTTTATCCCCCCACCGCGGCCGCCTGCCCTCCTCCTCGCGCCTCCTCCCGCTCCTGCCTTTTGTTCTCCCCGAGCCGCGGCTGTTCGGGCCGGGGGGACACGGCCCGGCGGCATCGCGGGAGGGAGGGGGGGGGGGGGCCCGCCCGCCCCCCCCCGCTCCGCCCCCGGGGGGGCGGCGGGGCGGAGCACACGGGACGGGCGGGACCCCCCTCCCACGCCTCCCCGGCACCGGCCCCCTGGCCTCCGTGCACCCGGGTCCTGTCTGAGTTGGGATGGCTTCAAACGGGTCTTTTTAAAGGTGTCTTTCACCTCTCCTGCCTGAGGGTACCAAGGACTGAAAACAATCCTCTTAGACCCTCAGTGCCCGTCGAGACCACTCTAGTCCCCATGGGGAATAGCTCATCTCTGTGTTTAAATCTGTCTGCACCCCTGCTTTGCCTGTGCAGGGCTCTGCTGAAGCCCTTCACTCACCCTTTGCAAGAGGACTTTCCCTGTGCGAGATGCTGAGGGGGGGGGAAAGAAGGGAGCAGCTCACCATTTCAGAGATGCCAAAGTCTCCTCCATCTGCTCAGCCACCTGGAGGTGGAGGCAGCAATGTACAGATCTGGTTTCTTGGTTCCTGTTTCTATGGAAGAAGCCCTGGACTGTGTCAGCATCCCCTCAGTAGACTGAGTTTAGCTGCACATTGTTTCAAGAAATGTATTGCAAATAAGAAAACTTTGATCTCCAGCTGCCTGGGCTGGTGTGCAGGGAGTGGGTAAGGCTTCCTGACATCCTGGACTCTGTTACTGCATTATTTGTCTGTGATCAGTTGTTCATGTTTTGTTTTATGGGAACCATACTGAGGATGTAAATACTGGGTACGGTAAGCAGATGTGAAAAGAAAGGCTGTGTTTGGAAGGTGCTGCAGTGGCTCACAGGCTCTTAGTGAGATGTCCCTGCACTGGAGCACCATGTTCAGCATATCCCCAAGGCCCTATTTCTAAGAGGGGATAGGGAAAGAGAAGAAAACACTTTACATTGTGGAATTTCCCCTTCTGCTGTTATTCTGGCTGTGCCCCAGGAATGCAGAGCAGACCCTACTTTCTTGCCTTGCTCTGAGCCAGACAGCTGGGTCCCAGCAAGAAAAGCTTTCCTGCCTTTGTCTCTCTTTTCTTTAGTGTCTTTTCTTTTAATGCTGGTGTCTCTGGGAGCTCAGTGCTTTCCAGCCCATGGCCGTGGAGCCTGCTGCTGCCCTGGGGAAGCAGGGAGAGGCATGGGAGCAGCCTGTAAGGCAGTTTGGCTCTTCTTAATAAAGGGAGACTTAAAGGGGGTGTTCTGGGAAACTCAGTCCTTGCAGAGATGTGACTGTGTGTGAGAGCTGCTGGCTCCTGCCAAGGCACTTAACACAAAAGAAAGTGCATGGTGTGTTTGGGATTGCAAATATTTCCCAGCTGAGCAAGTAGATGTTCAGCAGCAGAAAAATGGCCCACTGGGTGTTTTGGGAGCTCATGTGCTCACTTTCTGCAGAGGGCCCTGTGCACAGCCTGCAGAAATCCTTTCTGCTAGTGTTCCTGTGCTGGGAGCTCTCTCAGCCACTGTGTGTCCTGTCCCTGCAGGCCTCGTCCCTGCCTCTGTTTGCAGCTTGCTGGATGTGCAGAGCCTGCTGGCAGATGAGCACAGGGTTCCCACCCCAGCGCCAGAGCACCGACAGTCTGACATCTCTCAGTGCAGGCACCGTCTGCTCGCTTTCCTGCCGCTCCTGCCAGGCTGGAGCCAAATTTGGGCTTCTCGTGATGGCTACAGGAGCTCAGTGAAAGCCTTCATGGCTGAGAGGTCCCAATGGTCACTGATGTTTCTGATACAGCATCCCCATGTGTAGCTCTTTTTGCTCAGCATCTCCTCAGGGCCTTCCAGTCCTAGAAAGTGGCAGAACTGTCATGGGGTTTCCAAGTCCTTATGACTTACAAGCATTAGCTCTTCTCCCACTGTCCTAAGGCTTTCCAGCAAGGAGGACCTTGTGAATATTTGGGAAGGCAAAGCGGCATTGTAATGAGTGCCAACAGGAATCACCAGCTGGGGATAACCTCTCCCAGCAGTCCAGCAGGTGTCAGGTGGGAAGAGACTGTGCAAGAGGAAGAGAACAGCAGGTCTGATTCCGCTCTGTTGTGATCAGCAAAGAGGTCAAATAACTCTTTCAGTCCATGGGCCACTTGAGTGGGAAACTGCTGCAAGGCACTTTGGACTGAGAGGAGGTGGAGGAAGAGGTGTCTGATGAGGAGCAAAGGGGAAAGGGGAGGGAAGTGAGAGAGAAACTGAATTTAAACAGATTAAGCCTGTCTGTCCAAAGTCCTTTGTTTCCTGCCACCTCCCTGATGTGACTTTCACAGCTGTATTCTGTGTGGCTGGGGACCTGGGTTTAGATTCCCTGCAAAGTCAGCATGGAGCTTTACACCTCCTGAGCAGCTGGAAGAAGGTCCAAGAGCCAAATCCCCAGAACAGAGAAATCCCTTTGATTTTTCTTCTCTAACGTCTTTCCTTCTCTCTCTGTAGGAGATGGCCTCATGAACTGATGTTTCCAGCATCACTGCTCAGTGATGGGGACAAATGGGGACACATCCCCACCAGGCAAGTCTCTGTTCTCACCCTCTTGCTTTTGGGATTCCCCTTTTCTTTGGCCCTGGCACTTTGTTTTTCTCCTGGGCAGCCAAAGTGGGCGTTTGTACAGGTGGTGGTAGCTGCAGACAAGGCTGGGGGTCATGTGCAGTGAACTGCCCTCATAAACACCACTGATCAGGAGTATTTCCTGAATTACCTGGTTCTTCTGCTCTGCTGGCACCCCAAAGCACGGGCATGGGCGGAGGGCAAGAAGAGGATGTGGAGTGACAGGAAACGTGGCCTTTGAGCCTGGACTCACAAGTGGAAAGGTAAAGTAATATGTAGAAGTGTCTGTTGGTCAGCAAAATCCTTTGCTTCAAAGCTCTTTAGGGTTTTTTTAACCTTTTAAATGAAAATGATGGAATTGTACAGGCTGTTCTGGGTCCAAACAGTGCACCTTGAAAACATCAAGTCTTCCAGACTTCAGCATAACTAGGCCAGTACAACAGTCCCACCATCCATTTCTAGAAAGTTTTGCTTGGTTTGCTACTACTTATTTTACATTTATTTTCTTTTGCCTTTAACCCCCCCCCCCCTTCCTTGACCTTAATTCTGGGTTGAACACAGCAGTGCAGAGTCTGACAAGGTTGTGATCTGCCTGATGTACTGCCCTTATGAAACCAAGGGATGCAAGTGGAGCAGAGCCCCTGGCTGGGGACACAACTATCTGCAGGGCTGCTGGGCAGGCACTGCTGCCTCCTCCAAACTGGGAACAAGGGTGATGGTGGCAGGACTGTCCAGCACCTCACCTTGCAGAGGTGCACTGCAGTTCTGCAGGCATCCAGTGCAGGAGGGAGTCCCTGGGGGAGCACTAAGGCAGCCTCAGCTCACACTGCAGCTCACACAGTGCCCGAGCAGCTGCGGGGTCTTGCAGTTCTTCCTCCCCCCTCTCCTGCTGCAGCCCCAGTGCAGCTGCAGCCAGCCCTGAGACTCAGCCCTGCGATTTGGCCCCCGAGAAGCAGCTCCCTGCTGGGCCGTGGTCTCGGCAGGGCAGGGGCAGGCTGCAGCTCGGGAGAGCTCCGCCACAGTGTTTGTTGTCTAATCATCTCCTGCCCCCGTGCCAGGAGCCGAGCGCACACAAACAGTGCCGGGCTCCGGTGAGAAGCACTGCCTGCGAGATAAGCCAGGCAAGGAAAACACATCCATCTTCGTGTCTCTTGGCCTGAGATGCAGTTTCATCTGCTGGCATTTTCCTGGCGTAGGCTCAGGGCACACCACAATTCACCTGGGGAGCCAGACGCCGGGGAGCCAGCTCCCATTCCTGGCAAGAGGTGTCAGCCCCGACTGGTGCAGGGTGCGACGGCTGCGAGAAGCTGGCGGCTGAGGCCCTGTTGGTGCTCAGGGAAGGGATCTGACCCCAGGCTGAGCCCCTATGGCAGCCTGGACCTGGCTACATGTCACCAATGGTTTGCTCACCTGAGCAACAGGGCCAGACTCCCTGCCCGGACTCCCCGTGCCCGGCCGTGCACCCAGCACCCGGCAGAGCCAGGTAAAGAGCTCCCAGCCAGCAGCCTGGACAAAGCAGAAATGGCTGGGACATCCAGTGCCGAGCAGAGACGCGACTCCAGCCTGCGGCTGCTCAGTGTCTGATAAGGAGGTTGCTAGTGCCGTCTTGCAGCGCTCTCAACCTGCCAGCTCTCCGCAAATGAAACGTCCCGGTGAAACGTCCCCCACCCCTGGCTCCCTCTGATCCCCTCCGAAGTCGATCTGAGACTGGAATGTCTCCTGGGATGTGATTCCCTGTAGCCTGAGGGGAACTGCGTTAATAAAACCCGGCGTGAGCGGTGGAGGCGATGGGGGAGGAGGCAGGCAGGGCTGGTGAGATGAGGCTTTTATGAACAAGTCGCAGGTCTGCTGGAAATGTCCCATCCTGTCCTCTCTCCCTCCCCCTGTCCCCGGAGTCGAGCTGTGGAATTCAGGGTGTGGGTCGAGGCTTTTCTTCACGCACGTTTCTACCGAGAGCAGCCAAGCCCCTCATCTCCCTCCGTCTCTCCCCCCACCTCAGCAAACGCTGCTGAACTCACCTCCCGGGAACAGGTACCACTCCCCCAGCCCCTCTCGGCACAGTCTCGCTGCTGCTGGGACCGTTCTGCCCCTCCACATTGCTCGGGCATCTCCCCACGGGGTGTCTGTGACCAGTGGAAGGTGTCTGTCCCCAGGACGAACAAGGAAGCGTGGACAGGGCCAGCAGTAGGAAAGAGAAAGTGCTCCCACATCTCAGCAGAACGCGGTGGCTGCACTCATGGCAGGGAGGCAGCTGGGCTGGCTGGTGCCAGGTGAGCAGAACCAGGCAGACATGGGGCTCTGACTGAATGAAGCTGCACGAAGGTAGTAAGGATGTGAGCCAGGAGGGGGAAAAGGCAGGAGAACAAGCAAACTCAGTCCAGAGGAGATAACCAGGAAGAGAGACCATGGAAGTGTGTGTTTTATTGGTGTGAACGCTCTCTCAGCTCCCATTGGGATCAAAGTGCCTCTCACGGTGGTTACTTTGTGCAGCAGTGATTTTGTGAAGCTCTTGTTACTTTGTGCAGCTCTGCCATTCAGAGCTCATGCTACCCTAGGATGCTGTGGGGAAGGACATGTCCCACACTGCATTGCCACTAATAAATGTTAATGGATTAAACTGGCTGCTGGACAGTCACAGAGCTCAGTTCCCAAAGTGTTTTCCCACTTCCTCTTGGGAAGCAATTGCTGAACTCAGAGGCTGCATTATCACAAACTCACTGTGGAAGCTTTGGATCCAGGGAATCACCAAGAGAGCACACTGAAGGCTCTGAAGAACAGTCTAAAAGAAGCACCATGAGACCTTGCCCAAAGCTGGGAATGAATCCAGCATGGCATGCACACTGTCCAGCCTTTCCAGAAAGCTGAGGAGTTTGCTCACACCACTGATTTTGCAAAGGCCAGGCTGTCCCTACAGAGGAGGATGTTTGCACTGCTCCTATGGAGGAGCCCCTGGATGGACTCTGCACTGAGCTCAGGACTCTGTGGTGGAGATGGCACCTGAAACAAGAGCATTTCAGCAGAAATCACGACAAAACAGAGTGCACAACGAGGCTGCCCTGTGCATTTGCAGGGATTATTGACTATCCATGTGAAAAGGAGACAACAGTGCCTTCCACGGAGGAAGGAAAACACGGGCTGCAGTATTTAGTTTCCATCTGAGAAAAGGTGTCAGAAGCTGATGGCTGGACAGCTTCAGTAGGACAGGGAGAGCAACGTGATTAAAACTCATGAGGCATTTTGGAGAGCTGAGACAGAGGACCTCAAATCCCAGATGTCTATGAAATGTCCTGTAGAGGCTGCAGCATCACACAAGATCTCTCTGGCTGCTGTACGGGCTCTGTCTTTGCTTGGGAAGGGGGAGATGGGGGGAGTTACTGTAGTATTCTAGTTCAAAGCAGTAGCTGTTCGTGGGTTGGTGCTAACAGCCTCCTAAAGGTCAGGGGTGCATCTGCCTTGCACACAGACCCCATCCTGCTTCCATAGTCGGCTCATGTTGTTTTACTGCAGGTGCCCGGGAGCTGTGCCCCCTGGAGCTGTGCGTGGGGAGCACCGAGGCAGCTCTCCAGGGATGTTTGCTGTCTGTCTGCAGCAGAGAGGGGGAACCAGACCAGCCAGGGAGCAGCTGTGCAAGAGCAGAAGGGAATGGCCTCTGGGCAGATGTTTGGATGAAGAGGAAATGCTGAGTCCCAAGCCCATCAACCAGGACACCTCAGGTAAAGCATCAACAAGGAAAGCAGGGAGCCTGTAGAGGTGTGAGATCCCTCCAGGGCCTGCTTAGCACTATCTCCTGTAAGGGGTGTGAGCTTGCTGCTTTGGACTCCCTGAAACCACTTGGTGGATCCCAGCCAGAGGAGAGGCAGCCAAGGGCAGAGGCTTGTTACTCAGATCCCCCAGACACACACAAAACAAACTCATGCTGGCTTTGTAGCTGCACTTCTGTGGCCATGAAGAAAACAAAACAAATTCCCAAACAAAATCTCTGGGCTCAGGTTTGCTGTCCTGTATTCAGCAGGTGAATTGACAGTAATTGTTGTCTTCACCATATGAGGATACCTTGGAGGTGTTTTGGTAATTTCTTGACTAGATCTGTCTGAAGAATTTGGGGACACAAAAGTTCTTATTCCAGTTACAACTAATGGCATCAATCTTCAGCTGGGATCAGAACATGCCTCTAAGTGCACAAACCCCACTTCTGGGTGTGTGAATACAAAAGAAATGGAACTTCTGAGATGCAGCCACCACAAGAAGGTTTGAAAAAGTTCTTCTACCATCTCTCTTTCCCCATCAGGAGGTGAGGGCATCCATATTCCACAATTGGTGCCTTCTTCCACCCACAGGCCACCCGGTGGGTTCAAGTGGCACAGGTAAATGCAGGGATGTACCTGCACCTCCCAGCACCCCTGGGAATGGCTGAGAGAAACCTCTTCTGATGGGGAAGAGCTCTCCAGAAACCTGGAGCACAGCAGTGTAGCTCAGGAGTGCTCCAGCAGTCAGGCCCTGCGGTTCAAACAGGAAACACTCATGACATGAACAGATTCAGGTCCGGAAGAGCCTTCAGACCAAAAGTGGGCAAGCATGAATGAGTTAAAAGCCTTTCCTTTGCTTGGTGAAATTTATTGAAAACTACATTGTTCATCTGTTGAAACTTCACAGCTGTTGAGATTGCCCTCGGGGCAAACCACATCCAAGAAATGGCATGTAGATCCTGGGAGCACGAGACTTGAAAGCTGAAACAGCACTCAGAGTGCTGCCTCCCCTCCCTTGCAGTCACGTCTGGCCATCTGCAGCTCCTCCACTGAGACGCCGGGGCTTTTCCTTCCTCCCGTTTCTCATCTCTGACTCTCGCAACGCAGTCACTTTGTTTCAGGCATTGCATCCTGCCTAAAAAGAGACTGAGACAGCAAGAATCTGTGTGGGGAGTGTGCACAAGGCCCGTGGCATCCAGAGTGAGACAGGGCTCTGTGCCACGCTGCCGTGGGGGTGCCATCGAATATCACCTACCTGTGACACTGCTGCTTTATTATCTCTTGGGGAATGGTGGTGAGGCAGGACTGTGGGAAGTGTGCCATTTGTTCGTGAAAAACCTGTGAATTGCATTTCGTGGAACTTGCCTGATTTTTAAAAAATTATTATTTCTCAGTGGCAACTCTCCTTGCAAAAAACTTTATAGGATAAAAAAAGTAGTGCTTGCATATTTCCATCTGACCCGAGAGCTCCGTGTGAACCTGGGGACTGAAATCAGCCACTTGGCACACGC